CTTCAATAGTTACCTAAAACTATCATTACATTTAGTAAGGCTTTTTTTCCGGAGACATGTTTAGATAATAAAGAAATTTATCACAAAGCTTTTTTTGCATTTTTCGTCTCTAATTCACGGAAAATCTTGTTACTTTACAAGTTGCGCTTGGGACGCGTAAATATCACACTGGATGATTCCAAATGTTCCACTTCAGCAACACTGACACTTGTGCAGCCATGAATCTTGGCAGAATATTAGCAGTCCGATGTCTACGCGCTGGAATTCATTTCGCCCTGCCAGCTGCAAGTGAGGAACAAATTGAGATTAGCAAGCATGTAAGTGCGCTCATATTGTTGTTGGTGTTGCGAATTTCCTTGCTAAACTCCATCTGCCATCTTTTTGCTCTCATTTCAATCATCTTTTGCTTTCGGAATTGTTTTTACAAAAATTATACCAACCTATTCTTCTATCTTTTCATTAATGCAATCAATCTTCGAATTCTTTGCCATTTTGTTAAGAGAATATTCAGTCCGATATCTGATTTTTCCAGAAAAATCCGCCATAACAATGATTTTGAGGCATGCTTTTTTCAGCAACAAGAATTTTTCAAAGCACTCATTGCTGAAGGCCTGCAATTAGAAGAACCTAAGGCACAGGAACAAAGTTATGAGACAGATAAATCAATGACATGGCAACGATATCCATTAATGGCAACCCGGCAGGACAAGTTGGACGAATTATAAGACAGATGTCATTCGGTTATTATCTACTTTGGTTCTAATAGCAGAAACCGCATAGATGTCTTTCTGTTTTGTAAGCAACAAGCAGGCACTGTCTTTTAGGTTTAATCGTTTCAGTCTTGTTGGCATGCGATTGTAATTTTACAGCTTATGTTACAAAATGCTCATCAGCTGACGATTTGAGGTTCTTACGCAGGTTAGGTTGTGTATCAATTCTGGGTAGAGGATTATCTATCACCACTAAGCAGGTGCAGCCGTGGACAATTTCTTTGTATTGTTTCTTATAGGTTTGAAAGACCAACTTATTCAAAGCTTTAATTTGCTTGTTAGCCTAGACTGAAGTTTTTCAGTCG